CGGAGAGCTTTCAACCCTGGTAAGAAGGGCTGCGAAAAGGTAGCTCACCACTGCCACGCTTCGGGGTCTTTCCGAGGTTCGCGGTTCGCTATGCCAGGATTGCAACAAGGCGGCACATACGCCGGGGAAGCTCACCATCTGCTATCACAACGGCGGCCACTACGACTTTCACTTCTTGCTGAGAGGCTTCGCGAAGCTTAAGCGCACTGCTTTGACGGCTGCTTCCGCGACGCCTGAGAAGAAGAAGCCCTCGAGCTCGGCGGGCCGCCGCAAGCTGAGAACGTTTGGCGTCAAGGAGCTCTCTAGACGGGTTCAGAAGGTCAAGCTGCAGTTTCTGGTCGACTCTCTTCCGAAGGCCGAGATCGACGTGCTTCGAGATTGCAAGGTCTCCATCCTTCAGAGGAGCGGTGAGTCGAACTTGACGCTCGACATACGCCGCCTTAGGTTCATCGACACCATGAACTTCTGCAAGGCCGGATTGGGGAAGATGATCGAGTCTCACAAGCGGTCGGCCCTGAAAGCGGTCAACCATCGAGGAGAATCTCCGACTTCTGGGCTGGAGAGGGCATTTCCCTTGACGTCTTCGAGGCACCCCGTCCTCAAGCACGTGCGGGGTTCCGCCGGTGACACAGACGCTGTGTGGGAGGCCTTGCTGCGCAAGCTGCCCATGCCGTGGTCCTACTTCGCGGACTGCGGCGCCTTCAACAAGCCGGCGGTGTGGCCCGTGGAGTGTTACCACAGCGAGCTGTCTGGCAGATGCTCGGAGGAGTCCCACAGGCTGCTCCAGGACACTTCGAGGATGATGCAGTTTGGACGGTTCAAGGAGGTGTTCGACTGCTACCTCGCCTTGGACATCACTGCCTACGCCGACCTGATGCAGATCTTCCGGGAGCATTTTTACGACGCTCACCACATCGACCCGTTCCTCTACCCTTCACTACCTTCAGCGACTTGGGACTCCGTTCTCCGGGACATCACTCAGCGAGGTGCCCGGCAGCTCCGTTTGATCACCGACGTCAACGTCTACAAGGCTGTGAAGGCGTCGATGATGGGAGGACTTTGCACGGTGTTCAGACCGCACAGCGAGGCAAACTTCGAGGGCTTGGAGAGCTTCGACGCCGATCAGCCCGTCAAGAGGTGCTTGTACATGGACATCAACTCCCAGTACCCCCATGCCATGACTAAACACCTGCCCTGTTCGGGTGGAGAACGAGTGTCTCTGCCCGAGGACGGCGCGAAAAGGTTGACATGGCTCCATGAGACGCTCGACGGCTTGAGCCTCCATGAGGATGCATTGGAGACGACCTTTCTGGTGTTTGTCTCCTACGACTACCCAGAAGAAGTTCACGACGTTGTGGATTTCCCATCGCCTTGCCGGCTCTCCGTTCCTCCTTCAGAGGTCGGACCGTACACCAAGGACGCTATGAGAAGAGGCAGGCCCGTTGAGAAACTCGTCCCCTATCTTGGCATGCACCGCTGTGAGGGCATCCACGGCAAGCGCTTGCTCTTCCTGCGCAACCACCTCGGCGTCCGCGTCTGGGAAGTTCACGAGGCCTACGCGTTCGAAAGTCATCCTGTCCTCAGGGATTTCATGGAGAAGTCGTACGCGTACAGACGACAACTCAAGGATGAAGGCAGGGACACGGAACAGGGCTTCATGAAGTTGTGCATCAACAGCGTGTACGGAAAGACCGTGCAGAATCAGGAGAAGTACCTCAACACCACGCGCTACTTCGACCCCGTCTCCTTCAGCCGGGCTCAGGCCGACCCCGCGGTCGCAGACTTCAACACAGAGATCTTCGAGCAGGACGCCTTCTTGGGCACAGTGCGGAGGGTGCGAAGCGCCAAGAGGAACGTCAACCGCAGTCCGGTTCAGGTCGGCTGGGCGGTCTTGGAGCTGGCCAAGCTCCACCTTTCCATCCAGTACTGGGTCGGCATCAAGGCCACACTTCCCAAGGTCGTGCCCCTCCTGACAGACACGGACAGCGTTCTGATGGAGGTCATCGGCGATGCGGACCCTGTGCCCTTGCTCGCAGAGGCTAACCTGAAGCTGCCTGTGGAGTTCGACCTCATCGGAGACCTCGATGTCGTTGAGTTCGAGCGCCTTTACCGCGGAAAGATCTCGGAGCCCGCGCTGGCAAAGCTGCAACAACTTCGTGGCAAGCTCGGTGCTCTCTCGAACGAGTGCCCCAAGCACACAATCCTCAGCGTGGTCTGCTTGGCCGTCAAGAAGTACAGCATCCTCCTGGACTCCGACGTGCAGATCCAGAAGGCTAAGGGCGTGCCCGAGATCATTCGCAAGCAGGTCAGGCATCAAGAATACCTCCGGATCCACGAGGAGAACGCGATCAGGTACGATGCCTCAACCCAGCTGCGCTCCTCTAAACACCAAATCCATGCGGTGGAAGAGAGGAAGAAGACGTATGGGGTGCTGAATGACAAGGGCTTTCAGCTGACCAAAGAATATGTCCGGCAGTTAGGCCATTGGCGCAACGCCTTCTTGGGGCTGTGGCGGCGGGTCGAGGGGAGGGCCGACATCTTCAACCTGATCCTGGAGTTTGAGCGCGGGCCCTTGCCTCCCATGAGACCTGAATGGGGACAGCCCGTCAGAGAGTTGATGAAGAAGTCCCGCCGTTAAATTCGCACAAACTGGATCTTAGGGAATGGTTGCAGACAGCATGTAGAACTAAATTAACTAAACCTCATGATAACCAAGAGTCTGTGATCACCCTATCTCTTTTTGTTTGTACAGTACAGTGATTGGTCCTGCCGCACAGAACAACGTCGACTGTCGTGTTGTGCCCAGAAGCCATGTATAGTCATGTACAGTGCTGCCCTCCGCGCGTCGCGTTCACTTGAGCAGGGCTCAGGCCGCACAGAAGCCGGTACAGACCCAAAACATTTGGTGCAGGCAAACGCGTGTTAAATCATTGGAGGTAGTCTGTCTGCTTGCGCCTGTTGCCTGCGCCTTTGCCTGGTTTGCACCTCCAGCCCCCTAGGCCTGACGTCCTCAGCCTCAGAAACCTTTCTGATGTCCCTCCTGACTACAGGTTCTGCCCATCCTTCCAGACGATAGCGCGGCCCCAAGCTGGAATGCATCACCTCGAGGACCCTGTAGACTTTCTCGGTCCACTTAAGTTCGTTCACGCGATAAGACGCTCGTGACTCTTGAGGTTTAAGCCTTATCTTGACACGGTCGCCGGCTTGTATCGAGGCTCTGGGCTCAGCAGTGTTCTTAGCGCGATCTTTCATGGATTCCCACGCTTGATTTGCTTTGTCAGGGTTGCTGTAGGCTTCATTAGGAGTAACTCCGGTAGCCGCGTGGACTCGGTTGTTGATTTGGCGGATGATATCGGGCGATAGCAAGTGCCATTGACCCCTTCGCCCTACCCCTTGTGACATCCTCCGTAGGATGGCCTCTTTTATTGTGCGAATTACCCTTTCAACAAAGAAAGCGTGACCTCTGGTGACTTGCTTTTTTATGTCCCAATCATCTAGGAGCTGTTTGAATTCTTTCTTAAACTCACCACCGTCATCAGAGTACACCTGAGCCGGTATGCCCAATGTATCGATGATTTTTCTCATAGCTGCGGCTGTAGTGGTAGTGGTAGCGTTACGATCCTTAACAGGCTCTGCCGCAACCTTCTTAGAGAAACTATCGATAGCCACCATCAAATAAGGGTATGGCTTGCCGCCAAAATTTGACATAAAGGCCAGATCCACTTGAACTTCGTGCATGGGCTCTTGAGGTACGAAAGAATTGTACCCTCGTTGCGGCCGATCCTGTCGATCCCTCAGAGTTTCGAAGTACCGTGTAACCTCATCTCTTGTCACGAATGGATTGCGTTCTTTTGCCGCCTTGAGAGTGTCTGCAATGCTGCCAAAACCAGTCCGAGGATTCAGATACGCCTCCTCGATGATTCGCCTCCGAGCTGCAGCTTCTCTTGCAAGAACGTCTGCCATGAAAATGCCGTGTCAGCTTGCTTTTTTTTCTTTGTAGTTCAAGCTTTTGATCAGCCCTGCCGTTAGAGCAGACGGAACACATGGGGACGGGACAGATGTGTGTAACTGGTCCGTGCAAGAAAGCTTGAGTGCGACTGTGCGCGCGTTTTACACAGAATGCCTTTCAAAAAACTCGAGAAGTTGCTCGAATCTGGAGCGTGGGGATACTGGAAGAACAGTCAATTTAAAGACAGCCGATCCTCCCTTCAGACCGCTCTTTCGAACCAACATGCTGTAACAAATGCGAAAAAAAGACCGACTTGAACCTGCTTTGGAACAAAATAGGAACAAAATAGGAACAAAATGGAACAACATTGGAACAAAATTGGAACAAAATTGTAACAAATAAAATTGGAACAAAAGTGGAACAAAATTAGAACAAAATTGGAACAAAATTGGAACAACATTGGAACAAAATTGGAACAAAATTGGAACAAATTTGGAACAAATTTGGAACAAAAATTGGAACAAAATTGGAACAAAAACTGAATAGATACGAGATATGCTGAGTAGCTTTGCTGCAAGATCGACACGAGATATGCTGAGTGGCTTGGCTGCGAGATCGATACAAGATACGCCGAGTGGCTTTCGCGTAATTGACACGATGTATGTCGCGAGATTCGGCTGAGCAAAGTCGCAATTTTTGACACAAATGAGAGCAAAATGAGGGCAAAATTAATTGGTTCATAAATCCCCTGTCTCCTACACACCCTTCCACCACTTGTCAGGGCGATCCTTGAGCCTTCCATAGTCGATCCTGTTGCTTGCTGGGCGGTGACAGTCCCACTGCTGACGGGAGCCTTTACCAGTGTCCCTAGAGGAGCTGGGCCGATCCCGGTAATTGGAGCCCTGCCAGCCTTTGCCACCTGGCTGAAAACTTCATCTATATCCTCTTGTTCCTCTGCCTGGTTGCGGTACATGTCGGACTGGTAGCCTTTGGTCGGGGCGCTTTCCTTTGCCTTTGCCTTTGTTGCGGGTGGAGCCTGCCCTTTCTCCCGTAATCCTCTAGGTTGATACCTAGATCCGCTACGGCCTGCTGAATCTGAGTTTGCATACCCAACCCTCCCTGGAGGATAAAGTTCGGGTTCTTTGAGAGCTGCGTAGAGAGCTCATCCCCCATCTCAACGGGATAGATAGGGTAGGGAGAGGAGCGAATTGCATCTTCCCTGCCAAGGTTGGAGATATCCTTGGTTTGCG